GAATTCTGGGAGTTGAAGTCCACTCGTCTTAAAGTGGCCAAGTTTGGACAACACTGCAGTAAGGCAAAACTGTGGGAATCCTATTTCTCATATGCCAGAGTTAGGGGCAGATGCCAGATGAGCTATCCCCCTGGAAAATTGTGGTGGCAACAATAACTACCAAGTTGCTATGTCAAGGCAAGAGGCAGAGCTAGGGTGTAAACCCTGGGCTTCTCGGAGAGAAAGTTTCAGTCTACAGACTCAGCCCAGCCACTAGAGGGTGTCTTATGGTGCTTTAATCTATTTTAATATTATGCAAAATGTTATACAGAGAAGAATGTAGTAAGCCTCCAAAATTAAATGAAGTGAGAAAATGGAAAGAAACATAGCTACATCGAATTGAAACTAACATAATTCCCTATGCCTCTCCATATCTATTATACAAACCAACCTTGTTTCTACTGGGTAATGCACCAATTGATATGCTACCTTTTGTTCTTTAAACTTCTCCACTCTCTTTTTGACATCTCATCAACTCCATCCAACCACAACTCTTTCAGATTTCTACTTCCTTTCAGCCCATTCATTCCTCCTTCATATGGCTATTTCACAGTTCAATCCTCAATATTGTTTTTCTGTGTGACTAAACCACCAGTGTGCTTCTTTCTTACTGGGCGCTGACTTCTATATTCAATCCAGATTCATTCGTCACCCTTTGTTCTTGGCCCTCTTTTTTCTTGACCTAGCTATATTTGAGAATACCAACCTACCTCTATGAAGGTAGTGGCAGATTAGGATTAGCAGGAATATTTGCTGAAAAAAAGGAGCAGGATGCTGTTGTTTTCGTTGTCCTTTTTGGGCCAGACACAGTAGGCTATAGATACCAACATAAATCTTGATTTATCCTCATTTGGAGAAGTACTAACAAAGCTTGAGAAGTAGGGGGAACACATGACATGCACATCCTGTATGCACAGGGCCCTCTCTAGACATTTTAGCCCCCTAGGCAACGTCATATAATTGGGCTCATATTCTGATTTTGTTTGGAATTTCATAAAGCTGCCCTCTTTTTTTTTCTTCCAGTTTTTGAGCTTTACACTTACAATTTTCAGCCCTGGACAATATTTTTTCTTTTCTTTGACATTTTACCCTATTTACGCAGTTAGCAACAATTCTGCAAAACGACATTTAATCCTCAAGCCGGCATGCTGGCTCACAGAGTGCACCATTACTGCTTTTCGCGTTTTTATTGTGTTTTTCTGAAGTCTTTTCCATTTTGGCACCCCTCCTCCAAATTTGGTGCCCCCAGGCTGGTGTCTACTCAGCCTTGGCCTGGGGCCGGCCCAGTGTATGCAAACTGTCACTTGCTTCCTAACACAGAGGGCTGCCACCTTTTCCTGACGGCCTTCTTGTGCTTTTAACAACTGCATGTTGAAGGAGCAAACATCCAGGAGATGAAACTCGGCCAACCATGCAGGCCAGGAATAGGGAAGAAAGCTTCATCTGCCAAATGTCAGTCCAACAAACTCTGGGATGTGATTAGTTTTTGCATTTCCTAGCAGAATTCCAAAAAATGAAAATTACTTGTAAGTGCACCTCTTGCCTCAGATGGCATGCAGTCTCTTCTAGCAACTGAACTAAACCAAAGGTCAAGAGTGCCCATTAAAAGCCCCAGAGGCAGCCTGAAGCGGCCGCTCTATTAACTGAAATCCAATCAGGGAAAACTGGCTCTTGCCGCGTCCCCCACAGACTTTAGCGGGCCCAATGGCGATGCTTCCCCAAATGCATTCTCCCTTACAATCAAAATGGATGGCGTCTTGTCACAGCCCTTCCCGCTTCACTTTCCACCGGCTTCCCCACGTAGTAGCCCCGCAGCCGTCCCCCTGTTCCACGCCCAACGTTGTTGATCGCACGCGCGTGCCGCAAAGTGACCTTGCGAGCTACGCACGCGCCCCCACCCCCTTTTAAAAATGTTTCTCCTCCCCATCTGGCCTCGCCGCAACACTGCGCCTGCGCAAAGAGCTTGCGGTCCTTTCGACCTCTACAG